TGTGCATGCAGCCGGGGGGAGTCCTTACTGTCTCATCAGACTCCTCCTCTCCCTGAGGAGTCCATTGTGTGTGTGTGTATGCAGGTGTGTGTGTGTACACGCTCAGGTATGTGCATGTGTGTATGTGCAGGGGTGTGTGCGCAGGGGTGTGTGCACATCTAGGTATGTGAGTGCAGGGGTGTGAGTGCAGGTGTGAGCGCAGGTGTGTGAGTGCAGGTGTGTGAGAAGATGTGTGTGTGCAGGTGTGAGTGCAGGTGTGAGCGCAGGTGTGTGTGTGCAGGTGTGAGCACAGGTGTGTGTGCAGGTGTGTGAGTGCAGGTGTGTGTGCGCAGGTGTGTGAGCGCAGGTGTGTGTGTGCAGGTGTGTGAGTGCAGGTGTGAGCGCAGGTGTGAGTGGAGGTGTGTGTGAAGATATGTGAGTGCAGGTGTGTGTGCAGGTGTGTGTGTGTAGTTGTATGAGTGCAGGTGTGAGCACAGGTGTGTGTGTGCAGGTGTGAGCACAGGTGTGTGAGTGCAGGTGTGAGCGCAGGTGTGTGAGTGCAGGTGTGAGTGGAAGTGTGTGAAGATGTGTGAGTGCAGGTGTGTTTGCAGGTGTGTGTGCAGGTGTGTGTGCAGGTGTGAGCGCAGGTGTGTGAAGATGTGTGCGTGCAGGTGTGTGTGTGCAGGTGTGAGTGCAGGTGTGTGCGCAGGTAGGTGTATGAGTGCAGGTGTGAGCGCAGGTGTGTGCGCAGGTGTGTGTGTGCAGGTGTGAGCGCAGGTGTGTGAATGCAGGTGTGTGTGCAGGTGTGTGTGAAGATGTGTGCGTGCAGGTGTGAGCGCAGGTGTGTGAGTGCTGGTGTGAGCGCAGGTAGGTATATGAGTGCAGGTGTGTGCGCAGGTGTTGAGTGCAGGTGTGAGCGCAGGTGTGTGCGCAGGTGTGTGTGTGCAGGTGTGAGCGCAGGTGTGTGCGTGCAGCCCGGGGGAGTGCTTTCCGTGTCCTCAGACGCCTCCTCTCCCGGGCCCTGTGGAGCTACGTCGTTTGCCCACCCTCCCTGCGGGGCCAGGACAGACAGTGTCCTCGGCGGTGCGCAGGCACACTTGCAGGCAAAGCGTGTTCTGAGAAGTCACAAGGAGAAGGATGGTCCTGGCCACCTGGCCTGGGCTGCCGGCCCCACGTGGGGCATGAAGGAGTGGGACAGCGAGCTGGGTGGGGCCCCGGGGGCACTGTCACCGCACGCGGCATCAGACTGAGCTTTGTGTTCCTACCTCTGTCCCTAGTGACGTCGCCTCACGGCCCGTTTCCGACTGGCATTCAACTTGGCCGCGCGCCTGCCGCTGCCCCTTGAAACGAAGCACCTCGCTGGCCGTATACGTGTGTCCCTGTCGTCCGTTTAGGCTCTCTGAGATCTACGGGTGCCGGGCGGAGACCCGGGTTCCGCCCGTTCCTGCACGCACGCACAGGGAGCCCGCTGGGGGAAGGGCTCCCGCGTTGCCGCAACCTCAGTCCCTTCGCCTCCGTCCTGAGGGCCGGTGGGGGACGTCCAGGAGGAGGCGTGGGCAGTGAGTGGAGGGGAGTGTGGCCAGTCAGCAGCAGCCAGCATGCGCACGCGTCCCTAGGGCTGCCACCCAAGTGCGTTTCCGGGGTCTCAGCCCAGCGCCCTGGGGCGTGTTCTAGCAGCTTCTGTGGGTGTTTCCCAGCTGGGAGCCCCTGTGCACGCGGGGCAGCCCTTTCCGGCTGTGTCCTTCAGGGCTGCCTCCTTGCCTGTCCCCAGGAGGACCCTGTCCTCCCTGTCTCTGCGACAAGCTCTTGGCTTCCTGTCTGCGGATGTAAAGTCTGCTGGGTTACTTTTGCACGTTCTGTTCCACCTGCTGGAATTCTCGTGTTACAACTCTGGAGTTTTTGACAAGTGGGAGACTTCCTCCATCCCACCCTCTCCCTCGACACCTTTGTGGGGAACACAGGTAGCCAGTCGCCGTCCAGGCAGGTGGGGTGACACTAGCTCTGGTCCCGAAGTGTGGCTTCCCCTCCCGCTTGCACTGGTGACCTGAGCGTGACCTCATTCGTCTCTGCCGTGTGACGGAGCGGAGCAGCTCAGGCCGTGTTCTCTGGGACAGGCGGTCACCAAAGCAGCATTTATCGGACTTTCCTCGACACCACCTTTTGGACACTGGCCTCCCCAGTGCCCTTTGCAGGCTGGAGGGTGCGTCGGGACCCGGCACCGCAGGCTGGAGGGTGCGTCGGGACCCGGCACACAGCGCGTCCCTTCTTGGGGCACAGGCAGTGGACTGGGCAGGAAAGGAAGGCGGGAGGCCCTCCTGTTTCAAGGACAATCAGTTATTTTTTATTGTAAAATGGTGCAGAAAACCAGAAGCCACTGACCACGAACAGTCCACGGCTCTCCCTGGAGACACAGGTGGAGACAGGTGTGCTCCTGTGGATCCAGGGAAGCATGCGGGTCGGTTTCCACAAGGAGTCACCCCAGAAGTGTGTCGGTGAGGCTGCGATTAGGCTGTCGGTGATCTGGGGCCCCAGGCTGGAATGTGGCGCAAGTTTTAAGGGGCTTGGTTTCCAGGGTACCTTTGCCGGCCAGGCGGGACGCCTTTAACGACGTGCACCCTAACCTTCTGACATTTTCCTGGGTATTCAGTCGCCTGTGCCGTTAACACACCCGTCACACCTGCTGGGTCTGGGGGGGGGCCGTGGGGGGCAGAGCACCAGCGGTTTGTGACACGGGGCCCGGTCCTGGGTGGAGTCTGGCCTCGGGGACGTGGCTTCTGTGGTCAGGGGGCCTCATCAAGGCCGGTCTCGATTCTGCGGATACTCGTTGGCTGCACGTCCTGCGCGGGGCGTCGGAGGGCCTGGTCCCAGGAGGAGCGGCCGCCTGAGCGCCCAGAGGAATGGGGCAGCCGAGCTGTGCCTCCAGGCCCCGCTCGTGTCACTGGTGCGCACGGCCCGGGGCACGGCGTTGTGCGGCTGTCCTTTCTCTAGAGCCTGACCTCTAACGAACACACCTTTCTGGCATGGCTGCCGCCTGTTCTTGAGCAGGAGCCCGTCGTCGAGTCTGCACGTGCCCCCACGGCCTTTCCCCAGCGCGGCGCGGAGTCCCGGCAGCCTGTGTTTGCACGCAGACCTTCCTGGGGCTCTGGGCTCCAGCCTGCAGCTCCAGGTGGACCCCTTCCCCAGCTGGCGTCCTCCCTCCCGGCGGGCCTGCGACGTGGGGTCTGATGTCCCCAGGGGGTTTCTAAATGGGGTGGGGTCACGAGGTGCAAGGGTGCACTTCCACACCACATGCACACAAATGAAAACGAACTTTTATCTTAAAGCACGACGTGAAAAGCCCCTGTGTGCTCGGAGGTTTGGAGGAGTTGTCTGTCCTTCACAGAAGGGTCCACAGCCCCAGGGACCACTCACTCGCTCGGGGAGTAGGGTGGAGGGCAGAACAGCACCCTGGGAGGTCACGAGAGATCTAGAATAAGCGGGTGAGGTGTGGGGAGCAGGCCTGGCGCCACCGGCAGAAACTGGCCTCTGCAGGCGGTCCAGCTCCTGGCCCCGCCGAGGCAAGGCGGAAGGGGGCGGCTCGGCGCCGTGGCTCAGTGCCAGCCTCCCCCTGGGGGGCTTGCACGGGAAACCCCAGGGCACTTGCGGGGCCAACCAGAGCCTCCCAACCTGGGCTCACTTCTCTGTCTCCACTTGAGTCCTCAGGGAGTCCTCAGCCCCTCTGCCAACTCCTGTCCCCAGCGATTCTGTCCCCGGGGAACCCACCTGCTCACCGGCACTGGCCCTGTCTTCTCTCGTACGGCTCTGGGCTGCAGTGCACACTCACCCCCCGCCAGGGTGCTGTTTGGGCTCTGTTGTGATGTGTCCAGGGCAGAATTCCCCACGTTTCCTTCCAGTGGCTTCTCCATCTCACAGGCTCCCGGATCACCTCCGGGTGTTGACCTACCCCCCCCCCCCGTCACCTCTCGCAAGCCTGCAGGCCCCACCTGCTCCCTGCACCCCATCAGCCCTTGGAGCCGCAGGAACCTGGATGCATCCGGACTCGTCTCTGTGTGTGTCCTTTCCATGCGAGGATCCCGGGGACGCTGTGCTAGGGGCCACCCTGCTGACCTCATCTCCGCATGGTGGTCGGCCGTGACCTCTGTCCACACAGGGTCACATCTGCGTCTCTGGCTGGAGGAATGTGTGGAGTGGGGATGACACAATTGGATGCACAGTTTGTCTCCGGCTGGTGTGCCGCCCGCCCACGACCCCGGGAGGGCAGGGCCCGCCTGCTCACGGCTGCCCCAGCCGGTCTTCCGCACGTTTGCCGAGGGGGAGGGTGGTCAGCCGGGTTGAAACCCTTTACTGCACAGCAGTTCTTACAGGGCAGTGTAACGGATATTCTCGGAAATGCTGCTAATAGGGTTTCACAGGCAAGAAGTGAGTTCCGAAGCCGTGTGCTGGGATTCAGGACGTGTAATTGGAACTCTGGGCTCCTTGGTGACTGTGGAACCCGCCCTCCTGTGGGCCTGGGGCGCGTCGTCCCGGAGCGCACATGCATCTGTCTCACTTCACCTTTGAGTGTGGCCCACTCACATATCTGTCATTAGCACATCACTCATTGTAGAAACAAGTACATTTAAAAAATGCATGTTTCCTTTGTATGTCTGATGCCCATCCTGAAATGTGATTTTCAGCGTCTACCTCCCCTCCATCTCCCATCTCTTCTCTTCTTCTCGTCCGCCCTCCCCTCCCACCCTCCCTATTATATTTTTTATTGAAGGCTGAGATGAGCCGTCACTGCATCATGGGCCCATTACGCTTCTAACAATTCCATTTGCACTGTATTGTTTGTCTCATTGCCGGGAAATTCGGGCGATTCATCATGCCTGAAGACGCACCTGATCCCGGCTGCCCTGAGAGCCTGGCCACTGTGTGACGGGAATCCCGCAGGCACCACGGTGGGGGCGCGGGGGGACGTGTGGCTTCTCAGGTGTTGATGAGTTCCATTTTGTAACGCTGCCCCCCGCTCTCCTCCACAGCCCCCTGAGCCCAGAAAAGGGGAAGGAGCTGATGGAGGACGTGGCGCGACTCCTGGAGGTGCCGATGAGCGTCTTCACAGACATCGCGTGAGTGTCGGGTGCGGGCCCCTGGGGTTATTCTCTGCTCGCATCAGGTTCCATTCCATAAATTGGTTTGCAGGGGAGAGAACTGTGTGCCTGGGGTTCTTGTTAATTATATCAGAGAGAAACAGCTCAGGAAAGAAATGGAAGGGAAATTCCAGGTGGGTTTGGTAAGTTATTTAAGCGCAGAACAAACTGGAGTGTAATTGTAAAAATTATAATCTCCTGGAAGGGCAGGGCCCCCGGGGCCATGGTTCTCAGCCCTGCTGCACCTAGAATTACCTGGAAGGCTCTAGAACATTCTCGAGCTTGTGCCAGGGGATGGCACGTGTCCATGAAAAGTCAGCACTTATTGAGTACCTACAGTGTACAGACCCTGCCGTGTACTCACTGCACCAAGGGCAAGAGCCGGGCCATCCCAGTGCCACCAGCCTGTCTGGCCATCAGTGGGCCAGCTGGGGACTGGGGTGCTCGCACGTGTCCGCGGTGCGGGGCAGCCATGTCCAGGTTTCTGGGGGACTGCACGGAATGGGGCACGGGGACCTCGAAAAGGAACAAATGGAGCAGGTGAGAGCAGGTGTGGACAGACCACCGTGTTCCGGCTGGGGGGGCTCCGGGCTGGAGGTCAGCTCAGAAGCAGCGTCAGGATGCAGCAGCGTGTGTGCCGTGAGCCACTAAGGCCTGGAAATAAAGGGCTCCGCTGAGCCACGTGTGGATACGAACGGCTGGCCCTGGGCCTCCAGTCCCGGAAATACAGTTCCTCTGACCGTCCGCCAGTCTCTACTCTGCGGGGCGTTCCGGGACCCTTACCTGCCGCTACCATTCGTTCTGAAGCTCATCACCCTTATTGTGAGTAGGGAGGAGCCAGAAGTTGGGAGGAGGGGCCAAGGCCAAGTCCCGGTCTTAACGGTAAGCAGAGATTCACTTCACGGGGCTCCTTGCAGCCGATGACAGTCCAGCCCGTTCTCTCCAGCTGACGAGGGCTCTTGTACCGTCTCCACACCAGCGGACAGGACCGTCCACAGGATGCAACGTTTCGATCAGGATCTGCGAGCGCCAGGCCACAGGTGGGGCAGAGAGCGTGGCATTTCAGCAGAAACAGACTCACAACAGAGCTGCGGAAGGTCCCCGCCTGGTTCGGGGGGAACAAGGGGCAGAGGCTGTGAGGTCTGGGGTGGGGGCGCCTGACGGGACGGGCGAGGTGCCTGCAAGCCGGGGGCTGTGTGCACGCGAACAGGAAGGGCAGCTCAGGCCCTCGTGAGGAGGGCGGCTCTGCTCCTCTGTGCTGGGAAGCCGCCGGAGAGCTTTCGTCAGGAGAGCGTGTCTAGCCGTGTTCACGGTGGATTACAGGGACACAGCGGAGGCCCAAGTGACTTGGGGCCACCGAGGTTTCTAGGTGAGGGGTGGTGATGCCCACCCCATCCCGGGTGGGGTTTGAGCCGTAGAGAGGAAATCATGAACGTGAGCCACCGTGTCTGCTAAAACCAGCGCCGGCCCTCGGGGGCAGCTTTCATCCCCGCCTGGCGCCTCCCGGGCCCTTTGGAATTGTCCTTTGTCAGAGCACATTGCGTCCCACACAGGCTCCCGTGACAGCTCTGCGCAGGTGTCTGGGCACTGCCCGTCTGTATGCAGCCCTGCAGGAGGCGTGAGCTGCCCAATCGGGAGCACAGTGTGAGCACAGCCCAGGGAGGCGGGCACCGGCCCTTGGCCCCCCGCATGGTCTCCACAGGCTGCAGGGAGAGCCAGTCCTGACTGGGTGGTGCTGACCACTCCCTTCAAGGAGGCAGATGGAGATTCCGGGACACGTGGGCCTGTCCCTGCCCGCACCCAACACGTGGCTGGCCGTTTTTGGTCTTCACCACCAGACCCCAAGGTCAAGGGCCACAGCAGTCACTGACACAGGTTCACGTGAGGCACCTGGCACGGGGACTGCACGGCGTGGCCGTGGACAAGCGTCCCATAACAGGGGCGTCTGGGTGGCTCAGTCGGTTAAGCGTCCCACTCTTGACATCTGCTCAGGTCATGATCTCACGGTTCGTGGGTTCAAGCCCTGTGTTGGGCTCTGCGCTGAGAGTACAGAGGCTGCTGGGGATTCTCTCTCTCTCTGCCCCTCCCCTGCATGTGTGCACTCTCTTTCTCTCTCTCAAATTAAATAAACTTTATTTTTAAAAAACAACAAATTAAAAAAATAAAAATAAATAAATTTGAATGCCCCCACACAGACTAAGGGGTTGCATGGGGCAGGCCTGGCGTCTACACGCCCCCAGCTGCAGCGGGGCCTCCCCCTGCCCACAGGAAGGGGGTGTGGGGCTTGGCCCGTGCTTCCTTCGGCCCTGCAAGTTCACCTGATGGGTGCCAGGCTCCTGTGCTGTTGAGGGAATAAAGGAACGCATGGGCGCCTCCGTCATTGCCATTGAGGACGTCCCGAGAGCAGCCGGAGGGCGGGAAATAACAGGAAAAGTTGGAATCTCCCGGAGGACGTGGCAGGAGCGGCCGGGTGGCCTGCGCACTTGGAGAGGGTTATCCCAGCTCGGGCCACTACTGAGAAAATTAGACCAAAAACGTAATCACATGAGAGACTTTAGGGTAGAACTTCGTCTGGCCGGGGGACTGAATGTACTGAATTTTCATTATTTCCCTTTGCCTTCCTGGTAGTTGTGCACCAGGCAGAGGGCAGAGGTCCCCTCACTGGGGGGACTTTGTGTTCCCTGGAGACTTTGCCCCCACCTGCCACTGCTGGGTGAGAAGCCGGGGCGTGTCTGCCTCGTGACCCAGGAATGGCGCTGCTGAGGAGGTGGGGGCGGGCGGGGGGTATCCTCAGGACACATGGGAGCACGGTGGGCCGGGTGCCCAGGGCCCACCGCTGAGGAGGGGCGCAGCGCCTGGGCCAGGCCGGAGGCCCCCCTGGCAGCCTGCCTCATCGCCCCGCCCCGGGGGCAGACCCCAGCGGACCAGCCCACTGAGCAGCGCAGGACTGAGCCTTTCACATGAGGCGGCTGCTCATGACATCCCCACGACGTGCATAGGCAGCCACGGTTTGGAGTCCCCTCCTGGACAGAACATACGTGGTTTCCAGGGTCGAGAAGGATGTTTAGCCCTGGGTACAGTCCAGAGGCCACGTCCCCAGTTTCTACATTGCCCACGTGCCGCCTCGCTTTCTCCGCAACCTCAGTGAGGTGGTCTGCTTCTAGGAGGGCCTGGGGGAGGCTGCGCGAGGGCCAGGGGCCAGGGCGAGGCCAGGCGGACTTGGGGACCAGGGGGCTCCTGCTGGGGGGTGTCTGGGGGGGGCATGTGATTGGGGGGTGTCCTGCGTGGACGTCTGCTGGAAGCTGGCTGTAGCCCCTCTGGCCCAGGCCTGTACCCTGGGTCTGCTCCTCACTTCGGGTCTCAGTCCTTCCCATGCAAAGCCCTTTCGTGCTGGAGGAGGCTTGGGGCACAGAGGGCTTCCAGGGAGCACCTTCTGACCAAGCTGGTGGCCAGCCCAGATCTTTTGTAAACGTCTTTTGCCGCAGGCTCTTCCTTGCTAGAAAACTGTGGGGGTGGGGAGGGGGGAGGGGTTGCTTCCTGTGTCCTCCGGAGCCAAATCTGACACCACCGTCTTCTCTTTAAGCCCTCGGGAGTCTGGTGTGTGGCTGTCTAGTCTTTCCCTGTGCCTGGAGCTGTCCCCAGCCTCCCCTGCCGCCGAGAGAGCTCATGCTTCAAATCCCAAGCCGGGCCTCCTGGTGCCAGAGCGATCCCTGCGGTTCACGTCTGTGCCACACCTCTGGGTCTTCACTTACTGTGTGTGTGCACACAAGTGTGTGCTGTGAACGCCGCCGCCCCCGAGCGGTGCGTACGTGACCCAGCACAGTGGAGGCCTCGGGAGGGGCCGCTGCCTGGCCTTGGCCGCTGCTCTTCCAGGAGAGGAAGAGGGGCCGCCGCCCAAGCTGGCGCTTGCAGAGATGTCTACATTTTCATGGAAGTACCAGTTATACTTAATATGTTTTCTTAATGGTTATGTAGCTGTCAAATAAATTCCATTATTTCTTATTCCATCATTAGAGACCATTAAAACGCATTAGCATGCTGATGTAATTATGCCAGCAGACACGCGGCGGCCTCAGTCACGATTTTATAATCTAATCACGGCCGTCCACGCGGTGCTGATGGATGCGCAGGCTGCCTTCCCCAGCGCCGTCAGGTGGGCGGTGCCGCGGGACCGCGATACAAAGGAGACTTCTGGTCGGGTGGGGACTGCCGTGGGCGCTCCTCGTGAGGGGCTCCTCCTGAGCCTTCCGATCAGTCCTGAGAACTCGCATCAGCCGAGGGCACCGCGGGAGGACAGCCTAATTCTGCGATCAATCTTCCTGTGTTCTCCTGATGCAAGACGCGGTTTAGTTTCCCATCTGTGTGATTTACTGAATTGATGAAAATACAGTGCTCTTGTTTTTCAAGACAGCTCCTGGAGTGCCGTGGTGGGAACTCCCCGCACTGACACTTTTCATTAGGGTCCCCTTGCCCAGGGCGGGGCGAGGGTATCCAGGAGGTCGAGCCTGTGCGTCCCAGTGATGCCGAGGCCCACTTCGTCCCTCCTTCCCAGGCCTCACACCCCCACCTGCCCCCGCACCTCCCTCCACGGGTGCGAGAAGCGTGGGGGTTGTTTCCTGGGGCAGAACTGCATTTATTTGGCTCCTGTCTTGTCTCTCTGATTTATGGAGACATTGAAGAGGAAGTTGGAGAAAGGGTCAGAGTGGCCTTCAGCTCACTGGGCTGGCCCCTTTGGCCTGTAGCCCAAGTGATGACAAAGCCATGGATAATTTGGGCATGTGCCAGAGCACTGCAAATTAACAGTGACAAAGACCGTGCTTGGGGTCGACAACATCACTCACAGCCGAGAGCCTCCAGCAATAAAACCTGGAGCCGTACAAGAGCCTTGCGTACGTGGAGGCCGCACCCCTACTTACTGTGTCCACTGCCCACACGCTCTGGTGCTCACAGGTGGATGCCATCGCCTTGCTCCACCCGGG